TTCCTGTTGGCGGACTTAGACATCCCTCGTTCAGCATTTCCGGTTGTCCTTTTCTCGCTTCCTGTGTAAACCTAATCCACATCCGATCGACTCTCCAATCCTGATATGATTGGCAGGCTGAAACATTAACTCGAACAGAAATCACAGTTGTTGTCAAAACCTATCGCTTAAAGTGTGTCGAAGAAGTACAGGAAGGTAATGCTGTATTCACCTATCATACTCACTTTGTGATTACTATATAATTGCTCAAATAGGCTATTTTGTTGCGATAGCTATCACGGTGACACTCAGGGCAAACTTTGACATTGTGATCACTGTGACCTTTTGTACCTAATCATAGTGAGATCAATAAATAAGATAGGCGAGCATGCGAGGAACAGCCAGAGAAGGTGAGAGGGGTTCGTGTGCTGGTGTACTGATGTGAGTCATAAGTTTTCCCACGCGCCCAGCTTTCAACGTCACGCGATAAAGCGTGGCGTTCTTTATTCTACGGCGTGGCTGATAGCCGTTTTGAGGCTAGGAACGACGCTTATTTTAGACGCTTATCAGGGTTCAAGATGCTACGTCATGGTAGGGAAGGGCAAGGAGAGTGAAAGATAGAAAAAAGCGAGAAGAACAGGGGCAAGGAAAGTGAAAAAGATCGAAAAAAGAAAAAATTGCCCGCAGCTTCCCTCGGGGGAACACTGAGGAGGATGCGGACCATATAATTGGTTAACGGGGTGTTAAAGTGCGACTTACTTGGGTCGATGGCTAAATTGGTTAACGTGGTTGTGAAATGGGGTGTTAAATTGCGACTTACTTGGGTCGATGGCTAAATTGGTTAACGTGGTTGTAGGAGGGGGTGTTAAATGAGTGAACACGTACACACGTATGCGAAAGGGCGGCGCTGGTCGAAGGGACGTCGATCATTGTGTTTGTGGATTCGTTGGAATTCATTTCACCGCGACCTTGGACGTCGACGCGCCGTACAAACCAACCGACGAGCGGCAACTGAGCGAGCGAGCGCCGACCTTGAGTATATATACAGCACGACGGCGCATGCACTGTCAGCTGTTGAATGTTCTCGAAGCGCGACGCCACATGCGCGTCCACTGGAGAATCAGGAGAATTGTAGATGTCGAACGCGGTGTGTAGAGGAGGAAGGGTGCACAGATGGTGGAGGAGTGAAGCGCGCGCGGTGTGTAGAGGAGGAAGGGATGCACAGATGGTGGAAGAGTGGGCGACGGCGCGACGGCGCATGCGCGCGCGTCAGCTGTCGAATGTTCGAGAAGCGGTGCGGACGGCGCACTACAAGGCGCGAGTATAAGATGCTCCGCATCTAAAAGCGAGAAGAACAGGTTACCCTATCGTGATACGAGCTTATCATTCTATCCTTCAACCTCTATGCTTCCTCATCCTAACCACCCTTCTCATCACCGAGTACCCGGTCGGTACCGCAACCCTCTCACAATCAGAATGACTGGTGCATGCCCCCCCCCCCATTCAGAAAAATAAATTGGACGAGAGTTCTGTCCTGATGCACTAGCGCTTTATATCAGGCTGGATAGCCTTTTGATATGATCGTGTTTGCCAGAGACCTAATTCTGTTTATCACAGATTTGATCGCTATGCCACTGACGCGTGTCAGCATGCTTGACAAATGATTAGGAATAAGCAGGTGTTTACTGAGAGTTCTCGGGTCAACATGTTACAGTCAGTCAATCAATATTCTTCCGTCATGTCGTCAGTAGAAAATTTAATAGAACGAGGTCAGAGAGAGAAATCGAGGAAAATAAAAAGCAGGAAAGCCAACCATACGCGAGTCTCGTTTATTACCCTGCACTAGGTCTACTACCTTGCACTGCCTATCTATCTATCTATCTATCTATCTATCTATCTATCTATCTATCTATCTATCTATCTATCTATCTATCTATCTATCTAATCTTGTTTCCACATTATGGGGAAACAATATTCCACCCACTTGGCCAAGGCTCAGTGCACATAGGATGAGTTCCGAACAGTTTATAAAATTACTGGTTATCTTTCTCCACAGCCGTGGCTGACGTGTGAACTATGGCATGAAATCTAGATTGATTGTTAACGGGACACTAAAGTCGAAACACGATTTAGGTCAGAGTGAAAGCTCAATGTATGACAACATCTAAAATGACAATATTATCAACAAGAGTGCCCTACTTACCGAGAAATTGAGGTGATGCACAAGAACACAAGTGCCGCAGTAGTACATTCTCAAAATAATCCCGATGCCATCAGATGGACTGCCTACAAATAATCTCTAGTAATCGATCTAGCTGCACTAAATAAAGAGCCTTACGTGCATCAAGAGGCGCAATAAAATGCTGCCTGTTCGTTTCTGTTCGATTCAAGGAAAAAAAAACCGCCGGACGTTACTACATGGGGAATGGCGCGGGTGGTTCGAAAATTCAATTTTCGCGTAGAGACACTGGACAGGTGGTGTCATCTAGCGGAGCACAGTTGAACTAAAAACGTCTGCAATATTGAAGCCAAAGGCGGGAAATTGATCAATGGCCGTTGTTGCTGCTGTGGCTCCCGCTGCTTTCGCTCTGCCGCTACTAGCGCAGTAAAGCCGGGCATTGTTGTGCACGGCAACAGTGACGTGAGTCGGTCCGGTTGGTCCGCATCATGAGGCGGGTAATTTGAAGTGCGCTAATCCGATGCAGACCACTTAAACGTGATTTTATTTTAAAATAGGCCCTTCTTTGGCACAAAAGTGACACGAGGTTTCTGGACCACTTTTTCAACAATCAACATCGACTTCATAGTTGCCTTTATGTCCCTATAAACGATCTTGTAAATGCTAATATGATCGATACTATTACCACGAATATCCTTTACCCTCAACGACGTCCCGCCTCCTCTCACCCTATTCCTGTTTCGTTCGCTTCACAAAATGGTTTCAAACTACGTCTGTGACATGGGGTACATTCCAATCGCCTCAGTCGATACGTATACAACAGGTTTCAAACGATCTATTTCTGCCTTCAAAGCCCCGTCAACTTCTTATCGCGATATTTGAGGCACCACTGATGACGCATCAAGGCAACCAGAGCAGTCTGCAGACATAAAATAGGGGGATCGGTGACTCTCACGTACCATGCTAGCACGCATAGGACTCTTCAATAACACTCAGCCAAAGTGTAGCTGAGAGCGATCGTCTGAGTGCACGTATACAGCACGAGCTACACTTCCCAAAGGAGCTGCACCAGATGTTCGGGGGAAACTCCCCGAAACGTTCATATCTCATCCCGTTAGTTATCCGTCAACCGAGATACGCGAATCTTCTCCCGGCTCAGATAAGCTGCTGTTCAGTACGAGGGCAGTATTTCTCTACGGCTGTAGCAAGCGCTGCAACCACGTTGTGTGTATAGGCGAAAATGTATAGCGTGTGAGAAATAACTGTATGCGCGTGCGAAAGTTCACGCTGTGTTCACAAACGGTTGCAGCGACCTTTCGACTTCAACTGCTGTGACGCTCTGAATGCTTGTGATGCGAGCGGTTTGTATTCGACGATACCTGCCTCTGAAAATGCTGAGAAAGACATGGTCTTGAGACCGATGTCATTCTGTCTAATGTTATCTGAAGCTGTAACCAGTATACTTATTGGTCCAACGTTCCTCGACATATTGGAGGTGTCGCGAATGCGCTCTGTAGTACTGTTCACTCAATTTGTGGATTGCCCCGCCGCGGTGGTCTAGCGGATGAGGCACTCGGCTGCTGACCCGCAGGTCGCGGGATCTAATCACGGCTGCGTCGGCGGCATTTACGATGGAGGCGTAAATGTTGTAGGCATGTGTGCTCAGATTTGAGTGCACGTTAAAGAACCCCAGGTGGTCGAAATTTCTGGAGCCTCTCATAATCACATGGTGGTTTTGGGACGTTAAACCCCACATATCAATCAATTTGTTGATTCGGTCATATCCGTGCCCGCATCTTTCAGTTGCTCGTTATTGCTAAAGCTGTTCACCTGAGATCTTGTGGTGTGCGTACCTCACCTGTCTTCACTGTGTAGCAACGTATACGTAACGATAGTGCCTCCACGCTCCCTTCTTTCTATTTTTTTTTTTTTGCTTGCTACCGCCAAATTACATTGTAACTGCTGCCTCGTTCAAAACGAGCCCAAATCACTTAGAACTATCTAGCCAGACTCGGAACCTTCCTGTGAGATTACATGCAGAACGTGAACGTTATAGTTAAGAAACTTATGTGGCCGCTCGCGATAACGCTGGAATCTTCGATGATACACGCGCTTGACTTCTTGTCGGTTTATCAACGGCATATTCTCCGTTCGCCGATATGTGTCCGATGTGTATTGATGTAGTCACACTTTCAGTTGCCCAGCCACAAGTACGGCCAAATAAAATGTTTTAATCTTGGACACGCTGACTCTATAGCCTTCGTCATCGTCACGACCCTGTGATGCTACGATATATATGCTTGGCCTCGCCAACCTAACTAACTTGCGCAATTTGTCAGCATCACACAGTCTATTTATCCTGATCGATGCTTGAAAAGAAGAAAAATTTTCGGCACTTTCGCTGAAGCTAGTGCGCCGATAAGCAGACTTGCGGGATCGAATCCCGGCTGCGGCGGCTGCATTTCCGATGGAGGCGAAAATGTTGTAGGCCCATGGGCTCAGATTTGGGTGCACGTTAAAGAATCCCAGGTGGTCAAAATTTCCGGAGCTCTCCACTACGGCGTCTCTCATAATCATATGGTGGTTTTGGGACGTTAACCCACACAAATCCATCAATCAATCAAATCGATAAGCAGACTTTTCTTTAGTGCTGTGACTGCGTATACTTTATACTTTAGTGCGTGTGTGCACATGTTTAGTTACCCTATCTTTTATCCCAAACCAAAGAGGAGGAAAGGACAAGTCACACCGTGTGCTCGAGAATTTCACAACCTCATGCCATTTCGCGAGCTGAACCGTTGTCCATCCAACAGGCGTATCAAGAAATAAGACTGCTACTCACATGGAAGTGCGTGCTCGTTTTCGCCACTGGCGTCTGCTCCACTGGACAGTCGAGACAGGTCTGGCAGGGTAGCCGGTCTTGGCAGTGCTGCTTGCGCATCGCGCATTGGAATGACGGGAGGAACGCGGTAGTCTAGGGACGAACCCAGGCCGTGCGGTATCCTGGACACGGCCTGGTACCGGAGGAACAAGTCGTGAGGCTGCTGCTGCTGCTGTTGTCCATATTCAGAGACCAGTGAACCCTCAAAGTGAGTCTCTATTTGCGTCAAAGGCGGGCCTACGACAGGCACCTGGCGAGCCTCCGTGGGCGTCCTGGCGCTGGCACCACCCGGAAGTCCGCCGCTGAAGCCTTCCATGATTCAGGTTGGACCGGACAGCCTGGATAATCGAAAGGTACACAGCCGCATTAGATAATGGATATTTCTGGGTGGCGGTCCCCTTAAGATTCCCTCATTGTAGGGTAGCAAACTGGGTGTGATATGGTTAACCTGCGTTCCTGCCTATCATATGTCTTTCTATCTCTCTCTGTCTCGGGCTGTGATGGTGGTGTTTTCAGAGAGAGGTTCAGCCTGACAGACCTAGTAATAGCTACAGTTATGCGAGTCTTTCCGTGCCGCATGTTTCACCGTGTATCAGTTGAACTAGTCCCTCACAGACAACGTAAGAAGAGTGCCAGCCACTTCCCTGTGAATCCTCCGCGTACCTTCCTCAAGTACAATCTATTCGCAGCGTTCGTTTTGCCCTTACAGGGCAAAAGCGCTTGAGTAACAAGGTGTAGTGATCTATATAGGCAGCCTCATTGCACTCTGTACACAATGGGGGAAATAGCGCCCCTTTAACCAGCCCTCGGATAGTGCCTCCTGCTAGATATATTTATTGTCTTACCGATACTCGTCACGTGTTTTCCATACTCTAATGAGTGAAGCATTAAAACGTCCTGTCGTCCTAACATGCGGGCGAGTCACGGGAGTTAAGCATTAACGTCACACGTGACCTCACAACACGACCAAAACTCGAACGAAAGGACAAAGTTCTGTCAGGCCTTGCTTAAGGATCGCCGGTGGCACGTCTCGCTGGAGGGCCAGTGCCGCTTCGCGTCTCTCATTATTTTGCAGGCGTCCCTATACTGACAAAACTATAGTTGACAGCGACGTGCCGTTCTACCAATGACGTCATTTGTGACGTTTACGCTCAGATCACGTAGCTCTCCTAAACGCGCGTGCGACCAGACGTTCCGCAGCGTCTACTGTAGAAGCTGCGGAAATGACACGTGATGATCTTTAGTGTGTTAGTGCACCCGCTGTCTCGCTCACGCGGAAAGAACTTTGTTTTTTTTGGATGGGGTGATAGATAATAACGTATAAGTAATGTATGGGACTGGCACGTGTGCTTTTTGTTGGTCTGCCTTTTATTATTTTTTTTCTTTAACCCCCTTCATAAACTCTGACGTTTGCAATAAACGTTTAGTTCAAGTTAAGCGCTTGTGTTGTGCGTTCTGTGTAATAGTTGCTGCGCTTCTTACCAAGATGGCTTCTTGAGGCGTCAATTCGCTTTACCGTCAGACCAAGTTCAGCGAAGGCTCAGCAGTTACGCTTCGCCACCTTAGCCTTTTTTATGCTCGCCCGTTCTAATCGGCTCGCGAAGTTCGCAGCGGTCCGTTCTTTCATTCGAAACAAAATCAAAACACACCAAAAACAAAGCCACGAGTACGTTCAAAGTCTGCAAGCACGAAGATTCGGGCAAATCCGTGTACTACCCATCATTCCCATGGCTGGACGATCGCAGCGCCAGAGTGCCCTATAGTTAATTTAACCTCTCCACGGTTAAAATGTTCAAATAAATTGATATGAGCGCCCTCTCGAGGATACTGATACATTTTAGGAACGTCGAGAGACCAAGCGAGGAGAGCAGCAATATCGTGGAAGACGAAACTAACACGTGAGAAGTTTCGGGTGCTAATTTCGGAACCACGTTGGTCTTGATATTTTGAACGTTTTCAGTCTTCTTATGGCTCTGCGTTAAATAAACGGAATTTGACTTACGACGGCGGAACGGGACGATCCCGAGCGCGCGGCGCGAGCTCGGCAGCGACGGTTAAAAAAAAAAAACGAGAAACAAAAATAAAGAAAAAAGCGACATGATGGAACGACGACTGCGTAGCTCGTGCACGGAATCCATCTCAAGCCGCGTGTTTACGCAGCAGCCCACGTAAACAGTGAAATGGCGTTGCTACAAATCTTCTGGGAATAAAGAGAGAGAAACGGTGAAAAATTTGGTTCTTTTTCCAGTTGCCTGTTTTGTTTTGGGGGGGGGGGGGAGGAGGAGGGGGCAAAGCCAGGCACAATCTTATGTGTGCCTTTTCCACTGTCTGGAATGTTTCAGAGGCTCCAATATATTGATTTTCTTCTCGGAAAACTCGGAAAAAGTCATCGAGAAAGGCAAGCCAATCAGCTTTCACGTGAGACCGGAGCGGCAGTGTTGGTGCCGCAAGCCCTTCCCGGCGCAGGATACGAAAATATTCGCTTATCACCAAGTCCGTACCTTTATGGCTGACCCTCGCTCTTCGCCATCTATAGCATTCAGGTCATGATGGGTTTGCGCAGCTTTGAATTCAGAGCGAAGTTTAAAAGTCGTCTTCAAAAGCTGGTTAATCTTGTAGTATTTTTCATCACTAATCGATAACTTCGATACCACTAATCAATACCTTCGGGGAACAAAATGCGCATCACTACGTTTTTTTTTGTTTTCCTTCATAATCGCGAATCTACACCTCAGTGCCTGATGCAGGTGGTATCTGCCCCACGGTCAGAAAGGTGGCGACTTGAGAAAACGTTCGATGAATGGGCACAAACAGTAAATACAAAATGTTACCTTGTGCAAGCTACAAGTGACAGCGTTAACACATCGATCGAGCTTTGATTGTGACTGAAAAAGCAGTGGCAGAGGATCGTAGTATTGGCTGCAGTAATTATTTGAAATTTTAAGTGTCACTTATTGATCTGAATAGTTCTGCATGTTAGCGCGTGTGAACGCTTCCCGTTCTCCTCTAATAACTTACAGCCTCCGACAAATTGTGCTACGGCACCGCCGCACGAGGTAAAGACATCGGTGTAGTAATGCGTCTCTTTTAACGCGATAATATTAAGGAGCTCGTTTCGCAGAAATGCCGGCATCGGCATCGTTGGTTGTGAGCGAAAAATCCATCTTTGTGTGACCGAAAAATCCAGAAATATGCAAATAAAATAAATATTGAAAATTTTAGGTCTGAGTGGGGATAGAACCCGGGTCGTTTTCGTGGCAAGCGAACGTTCTACTGAACAGCCACACCCGTCTTTTTTTATTACTGCTTTCTTTTTTGCGCATGCTGTGAGGTTGCCCGGCACAGTACAGACTCACTAACGCCACGACCCTTTCGTCGAAGCTCCATGAGGCTCTGCGGGGCCCCGCTTTTGACGACCAAACCTGGCCGACCCAGCACGCCCGTGAGGTGGCGTCGAGGCAAGCCCTTGACGTCCCCTCGTGGGAGGCTTAGGCCCTGCCACCTAAACCTGCTGGTTTCTTACGATAAATTTTATTCCTCCTCTTCCTCGTTTTGCACATCATACATGAATAATAACGTGCATAAACAGTGCATACAGAAATAACAAGCTGCATAGTTACATAGTTTTACATGATTTTACAGTACTCAATAAATTTCGTGATCATTTGGCAGAACTATTGACGAATAGGTAGCTGTTGTTGTTGTTCACCTATTGATAGTGGCGCATACCCACTATGGTGGATTGGCCAAGAATCGAGTGGTTTGAAAAAAATTACTGTTCAGATTTGGAATAATGGAGGTATAACAGAAAGATTACCGATAGCCTAGGAAAGTGTGGTGCCCCGCCACGGTGGTCTAGTGGCTAAGGTACTTGGCTGCTGACCCGCAAGTCGCGGGATCGAATCCCGGCTGTGGCGGCTGCATTTCCGATGGAGGCGGAAATGTTGTAGGCCCGTGTGCTCAGATTTGGGTGCACGTTAAAGAACCCCAGGTGGTCAAAATTTCCGGAGCCCTCCACTACGGCATCTCTCATAACCATATGGTGGTTTTGGGACGTTAAACACCACAAATCAATCAATAGGAAAGTGTGGTGCTTCATGTAATACATACAAATATTTACATAAACGAATTTATAGTAGCGTATTGATGTCGGAGTGGTGGACTACCATGCATTTTTTTTTTTCAAACACTGCGAAGGCCGAGCATGATCACAATATGATTGTGAATGCTGTCAAAATAATTTTGTCTACTTGCAAATGCTGTGAAAACAACTTTCATCCATTACAAACACACGCGTCCTGCATAAATGCTTCACCATACAACATGAAATATTGCCGTAATAATGCGTGGTGCAAGCGTACATTGTCATCGGGCATCAGGACATGGGATTATCATGATCACTTCATAGTTTAAAGCCAGTCACCCGCTAAAAACGCCACACACGCTCCTGCACCCTTAAGGTCATGTAATGGGTGCGTATAAAGTTCGAAAAGATTTCATGCACGAATAAAAGTGTCGGAAGTACGCACTAAGAACAGATTATTGCTATCGCGTTCAACACTTAAAGGCTAAGCTTAAGGGTCCCCCGTTTTCTTTTTCATGATACAGATGCCACAAACTCGAGCATATTTTGCGTTGACTGCTATTACCTCACGATTAAAGGCATACCCAACCGGCATTGCGTGTTTTAACATGACAAACGGAGTATTTCTTGGCCTTAAGTGTTTGCGCTAAAGATTCGGGGCAGGCTCTAGTAGTTGCTTTCTCTTTTTTCCTTTATTTTTTTCTTTTTCTCAGATAAGTCATTTCTCACGCGGTACACGTCGGCGAGACTATAAACTTCATGAAGTTCACTGAATTTTGGCACAGATCCCACGGTGAATACGACCCACTCCTCGGTAACGCATCGGCTATAAAGCGCCGCATCGGAAGAGTGCGCAAGGCGTTCTCCGCGTGCTAGTTCGCGGGAACCTGCTCAAAGAGGCCGGACGCTCTCAAGGCCGCTGTGCGAGGAACAGGCGCGGGCGCGCCGGAAATGCGGAAACTTGGCGCTGTGCGGCCTTGCACAAATTGCTGAAACATCCGCGCTCTGTGGCGCGAGGGTGCACCGCCTGCGCCGCACTCTGAACTCTTTGTAGTCGTTTGCAACCTGAAGGCCTTTAGGTCGTTTCAACCTAAAGGCCTGACCGTTTGCAACCTAAAGGCCTTTAGGTTGTTTCAACCTAAAGGCCTGACCGTTTGCAACCTAAAGGCCTTTAGGTTGTTTCAACCTAAAGGCCTGACCGTTTGCAACCTAAAGGCCTTTAGGTCGTTTCA